CATTGGTCTGGATATATTGGGTCAGTGCCAGGAGAGGAGTTGACAGATCAAACGAACAGGAACTTTCTCTAAACGGACGGAAATAAATCCAGGTCTCTCGGAGTTATGAGGAGAAGTATCATCAATGTGAGAGGACCTTTAAAAGCTACTTTACACTAATGATATCGAGAGAGAGAACATGTCGATTTATTATCGGAGGGAGAGAAATGAAAGTAACTTATATATCAGGCACAATAAACTACAAGTTGTGGAGATGATTACATTAAAACCAGCAGCAGAAACCGATAAAACCTGACACGTGGGCCTCTCAATATTGCTATTTATAGACTTGTACCCCTGAAAAAAGTGAAATCTAAATGAAATTTAAACCTTGACATGGCTCCGGAGCTGTGCAAGATAATATCGAGATAATATCGAGATAGAGAGAGAGAGTAACATCTCACCCACAGGACAGAACCTATCCAGTCGAGTGATATACCATCAGCTGTTAAACCATCCCACCCACGTGTGGTATCACGTGGGGTGACACGTGGGCTATATCTTAATTACAATGTAACTCCGGGAAACACTTCAGTCAGGAGTTTCCTGTATCGAGTTCCTCCTAAATATTATAAAACCCCTTCAAATGATAAAATATAACCTATTTGTAGGACAGGGAGGCAGTGTGAAGTGTGGACTTCTAACCGATAGGGCGCCACCAGACGAGGAGAAAAGAGGAGTATAAACTGAGGTTCTGCTAGGATCTAGGTATATCATGTATAATGATTAGATCACCCGGCGTGCCGACCCGAATAATCTAATAATCATATCAGTTAAATAGAGTCAATTCAAACATGTAGACAGCAGTGAGGCTAAACCATCTCTGATTTCAGGCAGCCGAACTCGTGCTTTGTTCAAACAAATCCATAAAGCAAAACATCAAATGGAATTTCTCACATATTATGTAAGAAAGATGGAATTATTGGGACTGACGTGGAAAACGATTCTTGACACAATCGACAAGTTGGTATATAATAATTTGACATGGTATTTAACAAACTGATTAATCGATGGTATCGAGTTTGACAGTTGTGACGCAATGTAACGTATATGACGCAAGGTGCCAATTACTGCGGTTACTAGGACAGTAAGAGGTATAGCTGTGACACTGGTGTGACACTGGTGTGACACTGGTGTGACACTGCTGTGACACTGCTGTGACACTGCTGTAACACTGCTGTGACACTGGTGTGACACTGCTGTGACACTGCTGCAACACTGCTGTGACACTGCTGTGACACTGCTGTGACACTGCTGTGACACTGCTGCAACACTGCTGTGACACTGCTGCAACACTGCTGCAACACTGCTGTGACACTGCTGTAACACTGCTGTGACACTGGTGTGACACTGCTGTGACACTGCAGTCCTATCGGGATTACAACTAGTGCTCCGTGCTTTGTGCGGTATACATTACGACAGTGGAAACGTTAACGTAAGTAGTACGTAGTTAACGTAAGACAAGTTTAATACTTGCACCCCTGACAACTGCCATGTTCTGAATGGGGCTAAATAAAGCAGGTTACTTAATACATTCTATAAATAGAAAGAGGATTCTGGCGAATACTGCTACTTGAGTACATGCTGAACAGAAGCCGTAAAATCATTTCCTTGGTGGCGGTTTATAACTTTATAAGGGAATTTAAATATGGTGAATTGCTATTAAATTTAGTCTGTAAAATGTTTTGGTTGATCACAAGATCATTTAAAATGTAAGCGAGTTATTTAGCAGGAATCATAAAACTTACCATAGCAAGTTATTTTTAAGCATCGTGAAAGTTTAAGGCGAAAAATCTTTTAAACTCTATTTCAGTGGTTTTTATAAGCAATGCCATTATAATAGGTTATAAATGGCATATTATGTTTTAAATTTCCTGGCACTTTCTTGAAAAGCTGAGAAACAGATGAGAAACAGCTGAGAGAGAACCACGGATGAGGCTAGGATGATGCAACAAAAAATGTAATTCAAAAAATCTGGAATTGGCTCTACTTCCTTTTTTACACTCCTCCCTGCATGCTGCACTGGTCATGGTGTTTTACTGGTATCAGTTTACCAATGATTACCGGTTGGGTGCGCTTACCAACTCCAATTACAATGCAGACAACCAAAATCAATGATCTTGCCAACTAAAGCTTTCCGGCAGAAATTTTAAAATTCCGACAAAATTTTAAAAATTCCTTGAGCCCGATTCTACACATATTTGGTGATTCATAGTAATTTTTAAAACAATTTCCATAATCGTAGCATACGTTCATGAATCAAATGACAGAATTCTTGTTGAGAGCAAAATATGAAAATTATAATATTGATGCTGAACTGATTAGGACCGCAATGAATAACAAATAGCTAAAAATAGTTATTAAGGTCAACGAGAAAGTAAACGCAAAATATAATAAAAACTGAAACGGAGTAATCAAACTTCAAAGCTATTAGCTAGTGGATGAAATTTTCCCCGAATTCTAACTCGACGACAACTGAATCAGTTTTTTTAGAAAGTCAAGTATTGTGTTTTGAAACATAACAATCAACATGACATAGGACTGCATTTTCTCATCACTCACAACAACTTAACACACTATTTTAAAACAACTCTCAAACTTCATCAAATATACAGGAGAGAATATCATTAGAACAAAAGACAGAAAATATGAGATAACAAAAAATAAGATTAAAGAAATGCCTTGCAATTCTGCAAGTGAGATTGAAATAAAGCTGAAGAACGCGAATCCATAAATGTGAACTCTATAATGTAGTTTAGAACTGTTAGCTGTAAGTTTGTAATACTGTAACACTGTAACATTGTAACATTGTAACACTGTAACAGTTACAATCCGACTTTTCCCAGGGCTAGAGATAAGTTGCGTCAATACCATAATTAAAAGTATTAACAGAAGGAACTGAAACGTCTTGATCATTCTTTCAATACATTAGCATAATCTGGAAACTCAAATAAATCCTTGTAATTCTGCAAATGAACTTAATAAAGCCCCGGAAGTGGAACGCACAAGAAAAACCACGTACAATTAGGAGTTTGAAACAATATATTATCACGAAGGTAACGTATGTAGTTAACATGATGTGTTAGTACGTGTTATTTAGGTCCTGAATAACTCAGTAGACATTGCATAAATGGATACCCAACAAAAATCGAATCAATGCTGTGTGGATAATGAAGGTAAATAATCATCCAATCGTTCGATTGCAACCTAAATATTATAAAGTGTTGATATGTTATAGTGTTTCAGAGCATGAGCTGGTAAACATCAGCGTATATGACTTTATGGAAAGGAAGATTGTGTAAAACTGTTCCGCTCACATCATTAGATTACGGTAGACATAATTACAGGCCAAAATTTATAATTAAGGGTGATTATGTGTAATTATAGGTAATTATGTGTTGCTGTTACGTTCAAAAATGGAAATAAGGTAAACCCTGCCACTATTTACACACATGGCGACACGTCTGGTTAAAGAGAGACGAGCCTGTTTAAACCTTGAGATAAGTCATGAAATTCATAGATTCAAAGTTCCAAATGTCAAAGAGAAAGGCTCATGACAAAGTGGGGACAAAGTTGGGACTCATGACAAAGTTGTGACTTACAAATACACGTCTAACGCAATCAAAGGAAAATCAGTTTAGTTGACATGTCTCAGTCTGAATAAAACAAACGCAATGATTCCCCACAGGGCCGAGAACAAACAAGTTACCAAACAAGTTACCAAACAAGTTACCAAACAAGTTACCAAACAAGTTACCAAACAAGTTACCAAACTAGTTACCAAACAAGTTACACCGCAACAACAAGCACCGATCATTCGTGCAGTCCTTATTTAAATCCCCTAACCAGTACTACTCAGACAGGGCAAACAAAAGAAAAAGAGAAAACAAAGAAGGATAAAACAAAGAGAAAGTACCAACTAAACGGGAGCCCACACAACAACAAGCAGTAGTAAACATATTATACCTGGTGAGACTAAGGGTGCACACATACTATTATCAGGGGGTAACTAGGGCAGGTTAGAACGGGGGACTACTGACCGTCAGAGTGACGGGGAGGGTGTGACGTAATGTTCCACCAGACACCCCACAGCAGGGACAAAAGGATTTCGCGATTATTTTGGCCAAAAATCGCGATACCGCGAAATTTAACAGGCTATACATTAAACTAGTACACATAAAATGTGTCGCAAATAATGGGAAAAATCGCGATTCCGTACATGGCTCGATCTCCTTTTGTCCCTGCCACAGTGGGGTAGTACTAACACAGGGCCCCTATGTAGGGTAATACAGGACACACTCTCTACAACACTGGGTAGTGTAATCTAATTTGGGAGGGAGAGTAAGTGTGAGTGCTGTTATAATGCGGGTAGGGAGTCTGGAGTTTGTGTGTGAGTATCACGCACTACACACTACACATAACACAGGGTACACAAGGTGTGTACTATGTAGTGTGTGAGTATCACACACTACACACTACACATAACACAGGGTACACTAGATGTGTACTATGTAGTGTGTGAGTATCACACACTACACACTACACATAACACAGGGTACACAAGGTGTGTACTATGTAGTGTGTGAGTATCACACACTACACACTACACATAACACAGGGTACACAAGGTATGTACTATGTAGTGTGTGAGTATCACACACTACACACTACACATAACACAGGGTACACTAGGTGTGTACTATGTAGTGTGTGAGTATCACGCACTACACACTACAAATAACACAGAGTCTGGAATGTGAGAATGTGTGATTCTTTGTGAATACAAGGTATGAAGTAAACATGAAGTGTATATTGTTGGTGTTGTTACACAGGATAATACAATAGTAGTTTATACACACATGGGGGTGAAGTTTGCGTGAGGTGTAAGTTATAGTTGTTTATCATATTCTGCTAATACCGTGTGGTACTCCAAAAAGATAACTCCAAACTGAGCAAACATAATGACAACAAGTCCTGGCAGAGTTCTAGGGTTAGCACATCTCAAGACACACAGAACGTACAACGTGTTGGTGATAAAGTGTTGGGAACCAGGTAGAAGGTACCTTGTACCCTGACAGTGACAGGGTTACTAAAGTTGAAACGTGCACGTGCGATCAGAATAGTGTGCGAGTCCACGTGCAGTATGAACAGTTCCCACGTGCGAACTGCGAATGGGAAAGAATTTTAAGAACGAGTCAGGACATACTGATCAGGTACATGTCACGCGAACAAGTTACATATATTACAGGGAACTAGCTTAATTCTGAACAAACCTTGAACAGTCAGAACGTCGCCTGGATCAAGCTTGGAAGATGAACTTTTGATACCAGGTTTTAGTTTCCGTAGAACGATCAGCAGGACGAAAAGAAATCGGATCAAAAAGACAAACTGATAACTTGGGACTCCATAAAATCCAATTTCCAGTCTGAACTGACGACCAGAGCGCTATGAAACTCAAACTGTACGTGGAAAGGATTGAGAGAACTCGACAAACTAAAAATACAAGTTTGGCACGCCGGACACTACAGGGTAGATTGAAGGGGCAGGAAGCTACACTTTCATTAGAACTAGGTTCTGGGGTAAATGTTAGATAAGGAGGTCGGAGGAGGAGGGTGTTATCTAAGTATTGTATAAGTCAGCAATAAAATAACACGGGACGCTAAAAATAGAACGGCACACTTACCACTTAGAACCATTCGGAAGCTGCACTTTTTAAGCATATTTTAAGTGTAACTCGTTCAAGTTACTTCTGAGATGACCAGTTTTCTGGGTTTAAAATTTGAGCAGCAAAAACTTAAAAACAGGGCAAATTACCGTTCAGATAGAGCAAAGGACTATGGGCATGTTGAGCAATAATAGGGTTGGGCATTATATTAGGGTACCAGGGTATATAGCCGTACCGGCCATTGACCAGCCCGCGATAACTACTTTTACACTGCCTTCTTCAAACAGGTGGTGACAAGATCACCCAATCACTTTGTACACCGATCACATGTCACGTGAGCAGCACGTGGGCGCAGATCTTGAGTTTCCATTGGATGAGCTGTCAAATAGAGCCTGCCCATTGGCTGATCCCCTATAATATATTATACTATATACTTAACTTAGCCACTGCATGCCCTGGGTTAATGGTATTGTGTTATAAACGACAAGGTGCATAATACCGGGGCCTGGGTTAACCGAGGCTCGAAAACATGATCCCGTAGCAGTCTATTATATATTAGCAGTCAATAGTAGTCTAATCACGTGATATCGAGGTCACGTGATATCGAGGTCACGTGATATCGAGGTCACGTGATATATAGGGGTAATCACGTGACCTTTTGTAATAGAGACTTGCAGGTCTAATTACAAGTTGGGAGCTAGTTTTCGCAGCCCGATGTGAAACACTTAGGGTGTAGATTAGTGCACTGTTGGAGTATGGGTGGTATATACTGCCAATTATATACTGTCCATTATATACTGTCCATTTGCTGTTCTGTCCCAAATTTCAGTGAAGAAAAAACGACTAACGAACTATTACCAAAGGGGAAAAGACATTGCAAAGACATTGCAAAGAGACATTAGACCTATTAAAAAGACATTAGAAAAGACATCAGACCTATAAAACAGACATTGGAAAAAGACACTAGAAAAGTCATTATGACTATCAAAAAAAGACACTGGAAAAGGCATTCGAACTATTAAAAATACATTAGAACAATTACCAAAGGAGAAAAGACATGAGACAAGTTATCGGACGATTAACAAACGAACAAACGTGACAAGACGTCGCACAGCAGCGTGTCAGTAAGAACTAACAAGTGTGACAGAAAGACGTGTGTAGTGTACAGATACTAACTTACTAATGATACAGATAACACTGGATTAAACGTATTGTAGAGATATAACAACAGTAGTGGTCCACTGGTTCAGATAACACTAAAAACTATCAGCACACCCGGTGAAGGGTACTGCAGTGTGACAGAAAGGAGACACCCTCAGTACTACTAGTTATAGTGGTCCTCATAAGTGACTTATCAGTGGGTAACAGCGATAAGAGCTGCTGAAAGGAGTATTAACCTACACCACTACAAGGGTGAAACCTCTATAGGTACAAAGTGAAACCTCTCTACAAGGGTGCAACAATATACCGAGAGAAGAAGAAGAAGAAGAGGAAGACCTGTTACAATGATATATATAGTTTCACGAAGCATCAGCTGTACAAGTTGAAATAAATGTGTTTACAACTTATTGAAACTATAGTGAAACTTATACTCAGTAGGCTGAAAGAACTATTGAAGAACCAGAAATTGAGATGTAAAATATAAATAATAAAATGTAAGACCGTGAAAACGAAACTACCAGTTTTATCTAAACAAACAAGCCGCGAGTTTTAAAGTTTAAACCCGTTTTTTAGATGTGGACTATCAAGTCAAACGTGATGTGAGACACTGGGAAGGTATGAACGTACGGGTTGCGGGTGATTGTTTTTGTTACACAAAACTAAGTGGTCATAAGTGGTCATTCTAATGAAGCTCAAAATTGAGATAAAAAAAACGACGCCCATCCCTAAACATTAGGTGGTAGAAAAAAGAAAACCCAAGTGAACAAAACTGGGGTGACATTTTAACCCCACAAGAAACACGCGACTGATTACAACGAAAGAAACACACCACAAGTTCACGACACTGGGATTGACAAAATCATGAGAGAGGACCTCAAAACAGCTCAGACTGAGTAGAAAATGGGGCACAATAATGATGTAACACAACACGAGCCTTTAGGCTGATAGCCTGGGGGCATCGTAATATTCAACATAATTAATTACCATGTAATTAGCGTGTTTATTATATACTGTATGTGATCATGGTTAGGATTACTGAATGTTGTAACATCCGTACAAACCACGATCATGGGATCTTCACAGAGTAAAGAAGTTTACAGTTTAAATCTTTATTTCGGATTGTGTCTACCTTTGACACGACCCAAACTAAAGATAAAGGGTATCAATACAAGAGTTAAACACTAATGAAACCCTGTTATCTGTATTCAAACCAGTATAAACAGCTCATAATCACAACATTTAGAGCAGACAAATAATGGAAGGTTTAACGTTGGCACCTACAATTGATTCTTCCTTTAAATTTTAATTTAACACGTTTTTTTAAGTGTGGTGAGTTGCTGATTTCACTTTTTTCAAAGTAGAGTTCACAAAATGAGGAAAAAGTCGCAATGCTTTTTAAAGTGCAACCATAAATTTGTACATAAGATGAAGTGAAAATATTCAGCAGTTGTGATTTGAAAAAACGAAGTGCCAGGCTCAAGCAGAATATGACTTATGAGCAATTAAACTGAGTGCCAAAAATCAGCAAACCATTTTAACCTCCAATTGACTAATTCCATTGATTTCGCCATATTTTGCTCAAATATTGTTCACATTACACTAGTAGATTGGAGTGAGTAACTGTTTTCAGCATTTTAGTCATGATTAGCAATTCCAGTAAGTGACAGAATTCAGTAAGAAGTCATTTTTATATCTGAATACGACTGCTCTATTGATGGTTCTTGTCAAAATAGTAAAAAGATCAAGGCATAACTGTGTTTTTTTCTGGATAAGATAATGATTGGTTGTGTCTTTAAACTAATTCCTACATGTCTATGTGCCAGCCATCAGCAAAAAGTCACACATGTATCAGCTTGAAATTTAATTTTTTCTAATTGATGAAATAATTATCGAAATTTCAGTTCTCTTGTTCAGTCACCATATTGACTTTTAGATTGAAGGTGCCATTAATCAGTTAAAATAAGGCTTGAACTCTGTACTGCTTACACTCAATTATGTCCCGAGTGCCCAAATTCAGTATATCAGTCATATAGATAAATGATGTAAAAAGACAAAAATTGTCTATTTCTTGATCCATGGGTGTACTAGTGTTAGTTTAAGCATCTATTTCGAAAAGTAATGTGTTCATAAAGGGGTCAAAACAGATAATAATATTAGAGTGCCACTAATCAGCTGTAGTGACTGCTGCAGCCAACGTGGGAATTACCAACTATTGTAAGTCAATGTTTCAGATATGAATCTTAGTTAAGTTATATCCTGATAATTTGAATAGCATATGTGTCCTGAAAATCAGTAAAAATGACTTATTTGACAGAAATAGTCATTCTTACTGCTAAATGGCACTCATTTAGTTCAAAATATTGTTTGAGGGAGCGGTGTGCCTTTTTTTGTTTAATGTGGCACAATTTTGTTGCACTGTGTGCCATTATTCAGCTTAAAATGACTTCTTTTTCTAGGCATATACCAATGGTAAATCACATAAAATGTTTGCTTTGTAAGCAGTGTTGTGATAACCTGCTATAACTAACTTAAAACTGGCACAATGAACTTCAAAAATCAATAGTATGTACCTAATTTCCATGATGAACATAATATTGTTGTCAGAAATCTACTTTATCGTGCCAATAATCAGCAAAAAGTCATTTCTATGAAGATTTTAAGCTAAAAATATTATTTATAAAATGACTTTTTGCTGAATTAGAACACACAATATCGTTAGATTTTGTAAAGAATCATCTTGATGAACCTGCCTATGCTGTCAGACATCAATTGTATAGTGCCAATATTCAGCAAAGAGTCATTTCTTTTGAATTTTTAATCGTGATGAATTTGACCTAAAAATGACTTTTTACTGAAAACTGACACACTCTTAATTTTATTTTCGAACAGAATGCTGTTGAGCAGACTTATTCTCGACAGTATGATTGAAAAACGTTCTAATTTGTTGCTGTCTAGCTACTGCAATGTAAAAAAATCAATTGTAATTTTGTGAGTGAATTTTTACTGAATACAGGCACACAATAGGTTTTTCCTAGGTTACATTATTACAGACCAACGTTTCTTGAAAGTTGTTACAGTTCATTCACAAGCTGATCAAAAGTATGGGCCTTGTACAACCCCTTCAACCAAACTAAAAATTTTACCAAACAAATGACTGTTTGCTTATTTTGAGCACAGTTCAAGTATTCCTACCAAAATCCAAATATTCTTTGAATAATTCTGAGAC